GCAGATCCTATCTAGCCTATACTACAATGCCGAAGTTGACGACAACAGCTCTCCCGAAGTATGAGCATACAGCGACCAATGTCGCACGCTTCCAGCACCAGGTATGTCTCTCGCCTTACTCACAACCTCGTATGATCGGTAGCCTGGACTGGGTCCGTGACGACTTTGACTCATGAGCTCAATGTTCAGACATACAGTTGACTTCGGTCAACTGTCGGGCGCAGGGCCTCTGAAGCCACATTTCAGGGGTTCTGTTCTCCACGGTCGGACGCAGGTCCTTAGGGCCGACTTGAGGCCTGTGGCTGGCCACGTTGGCCGACGACATAGACATATTTGGGCGGGTTATTACACTATGTTCGGTTTCGTGTGTCTGATCAAGTGAGGCAAGTGCCACGTCAGCATCCAAGAAGACAGCTGGTGTCAGAAGCAGAGAGGTGCCAGCAAACAAAGCAGCAGTCTCGTGTCGTCGTCTCACAATGCCAGCGTACAGCCAGCGTCTTGCCAGTGTTCAGCCAGCGTCAAGCCAGCGTCCTGCCAGAGTCAAGCCAGCATTGTGCCAGCATAAAGTCAGCAAGGCAAGACTGAATGTTGACTTCCAGGGGCCAGGTCATTAAATAGTGTTGTCAACGCTGACCAGCCTCTGGTCTCTCACCTCCGGAGACTCAGATTGACTCACAGCCGACAGGCTGGATCTCGTACAGTTGCAGACATCCACTTGGACCGAATGCTGCCTGGATACCTGCGTATAAGCAAGTGTGTGTTTATGATCGGTAGCCTGGACTGGGTCCGTGACGACTGTGACTCATGAGCTCAATATTCAGACATACAGTTGACTTCGGTCAACTGTCGGGCGCAGGGCCTCTGAAGCCACATTTCAGGGGTTCTGTTCCCCACGGTCGGACGCAGGTCCTTAGGGCTGACTTGAGGCCTGTGGCTGGCCACGTTGGCCGATGACTTAGACATATTTGAGCAGGTTATTACACTATGTTCGGTTTCGTGTGTCTGATCAAGTGACCCTTTGCGCCCTTGCCTTGCTCTTCTTTCCCATGTTTTCCTTGTCTATTCAGTTGTCTAATTTAGTTTTCAATCTATGTCGCCTTTCGGTGTGATGAAGTCATTGCTTAGTTGGGAAAGATGGAGCTCATGTTTTTTGTGCACCGGACTCGCTGCCTGCTGCTTGCCTCGTGGGACCGAGTTTCCACTAGTTTCACTCTCGGCCAAAGTGTCTGCGCCCAGGCCCGTTCAGACAGTGGCCTGAAGAAACCGAATTGGTCAGAAGAACCCAACTACCCAGGCACATACGTGTGGTGTGCCTTGCTTTGTCTGCTTCCGGAAGAGCCTGGAAGGCTCACGTGTATTTTGCTGATTCTCACAAGCAGGAAGGACGTAACCAACTGGCACGTGTCAGCTGTCTGGCACCCACCAAAGCTTTACAAAATTGACGAACTCAGGCCTCATTGAAAACTCAGGGGCTCGCCTTCACTTAGGGCAGGCACATGCTTGCTGTAAGGGTCTTATGCAGGTATGCCGAGGGCTAAAATCCTCGCATAGAAATCTGCTCAGTTAATCAAATCCAGAAACAGGCCCTTGACTTTTTTCCAAGAAAAAAAAATCCACCATGCCAGTAAAGATGGCATTCAGGCACTTGGTGGTGCAAGTGGCAGCTGCATGCTGTGCTCTAGTGCATGTGCTGGGCATGCGCAGGCGTCGAGAAGAAGGCAGGGCGCTGCAAGAGGCAGTGCCATAGCCCAGCCCCCATAGCTGGGCTGGGGCTTGCATATGGTCAGTGGAGGTTGGTGGTGGTATTTCTGTGTAGTGGAGACTTGGGTGAAGAAGACAAGGGTGAGAGCGCGAGAGCGATGAGGAAGCTGATGTGAGGGCACGTACCTGGTCTTGGCAATGGTCTACATGGTCGACAACTGCATGTACTTTAGTTGTTGCTGCTGACGTCAACAGGTTGCATTGTCAATTCGTAGGCTGGTTAAGTAGCTGTGTGATCATAGTCTGGGCGCTGAACGCCAAGCAGGGGGAAGGGCTCTGGATACATATGTTGGTGGTGGCGAGAGTATTTCTTTGACATTTGAATTCGGTGCTTTGGTTCTCCATTGGTGGAATATCAGTGCATTTCTTCTTTCTGGACAGCTTTCAACTATCTGGCTTTCAATGTCATTTTGCAATCTGGAATCCTGTCATTTCTCGCTATCGCTCATTTTCCTTTCCTGGAACTAACTGGCTGTCAGAGCCAGCTGGCTTCAAATGATGCAAGGGGTTTGGCCCAGCAGTGGGTCTCTATGGGTTGTTGTTGGGTCACACATTCCCGAATCATATGTGCTTGTTTGCTACGTCTTTTCTTTGTCCTGTATGGGTGCCACAGAGCTGTTCAGATGATAACCCTTCAGGAGACCACTTCTTGCACCACGTAGGATGGGGCAAAGGTTGCTACTCTCCAGTTGCGTTCTTCACTGCAACGATGGGCTCAGAAAGGTGCTAGAACTTCGCCTCTTCTCCCCTGATCTCCCTGAGTAGATGTCCATTCATGGACATGTGGACGTTTGGGTTCTCTCCTTTTCATCTCGTTGTCTTCTCTCCTTTCCCCTTTTTGTCACCTTCCTTTTCAGTTCGATGTATTCCATTTGGTCTATTTCCATCCCCTTTTCCGTGTTTCACTGTCCAGGCCATTTTTCCTTTTGTCTGGAGGAAGAATCGGCGTGATGATACCAGTTAATGTAATTGGTTTATAATATTGCATTTCTTCACCGTTACACACGCATGTATCATGTCATACACACATTCTTTCCTTCTCTGCCTATCCTCCTCTTCCCTATTCTCTTTTGCTCTGTCTTCTTCTCTTGGCCAGTTTGAACCCTTTGTACTGTTCCCCATTACGTTCTGTAGGTGGCTTCAACGTGTTGAACACACACGACATAGGCATGTAGATGTTGCAATTTACTAATGCGGCCAGTTTGCAATTGAAGCCTCTAAGAGGCGAACTGTCATGTTCTGTTTGCGCTCTCATTTCTCAAGGGTTCCTTCCTTATCCTCTGGCTCACACATGTGTGCATGTGTGGACATTTTTATCACAAAGGGTTGGCTGTTGGCGTGAACCATGCAACTTCTCCTTTTTAACACGTTGTTTCATGGTGGTGCTTTTTGTTTTCTGCGCTTTTGCTTTGTCCTTCGCCCCGCCCCCCGCCTCTCAGTCTAAGTTGTTTGTCAGCCGATTGCCAGAGCCGAAGATAGAGCCACATTTCAAGCCGTTGGATCATGTTCAAATATTGGCTGATATACATCAAGAGCTTGAGACTGCGCCAAACAAGCCACAGCTTCATCTGGAGCAGAGTTTTATTTTCACCGGCCTTGGGGAGTACAAACTTGCACGGCATTGTTTGGAGAGGGCAAAGCACTGGGCCACCACTGTCCACGAACTGCTGGTGTATGAAGCATGGCTAACATTGGAGAAGCGCGGCGAGGCGTCAGGGCCCCCTGTTACTTGGTCTCTCACATGGGACAGACTATTTCCACCAAAGAAGGCGGAATCCCCTCGGTCTACGCTGGATTCTGCAGTGATGAGTGGTGTGGCCGATAAAGAGAGAGATGAGGATGGGAATTTTGCCAGCGATGGGGATTGCGAAACTGTTTCCTCTGAGTGTTCATGCGGTGGCATGGACGAAAATGACATTGTATTCGATGTGTGTGGTGAGCCTGTTCCATGTTGCAGACGGTTAATTGCAGCTCTGTCAACTCCTTTTGAGGCGATGCTAACAGGTCCGTTTACAGAATCACAGATGACTGTTATCAACTTTGAGAATAATGGGATCAGCGCAGAGGGGCTGCGGGTTGTTGACAAGTTTAGCAAATATGGGAGTGTGCATGGAAGCCCAGTGGATGTTTTGTTGGAGGTTATGACCTTTTCAAACAAGTACTGCTGTGAGCAGTTGAAGATGGAGTGTGAGAAAGAATTAACTAGGTTTGTGAACAGGACTGAGGATGCAGTCCGATTTGTGGAAGTTGCACTTGAGGAGGGAGCCAATTGTCTGATCGTGCAATGCCTTTGGGTGATACTGCAGGAGTTGCCGAAGTCGCTAGATAATATCCAAGTGAGGGATCTGGTCTGTACGAAAGAGGGGAAGGCGCGGTTATCAGCAGCAGGGCATGCATCTTTTGAGCTATACTTTTTGCTAGGCTACACTTTGAGCAAAGAGGACATGTCATCGTCTGTGGCTATTGTGCTGTTCGAACGGGCCGTGGAATGTTGTGTTTCAAGCCGGCAGCGAGCAGTGGCTTTTCACCGCCTTGGTTGCATTTACTTCACGAGGAAGGAGTACACTGAAGCTTTTCGCTGCTTCCATGCGGCAGTGGCAAATGGACATCAATACTCTCGTGTTGGCATTGCAAGGATAGCCGATAGGACCGGTGATCGTCAAGAAGCACTAGAGGAAATTGCTGCACTTATCAATGACCACATGCATGGGGCACTGGGCTGGATGTACATGGAGCGTGCTCTGTATGTCGAGGGTTTATGCAAGATGCAAGATCTGGACGTGGCAACAAGGTTGGATCCGACGCTGACTTATCCGTACATGTACAGGGCCGCAGTTTTGATGGACCAGGCAAAGGTTCAGGCAGCAATCACACAGCTGAACAAGATTCTTAATTTTAAGGTCACGCTGGAGTGTCTAGAGCTTCGAGCATATTTTGCCATGGCAACAAAAGATTACGAGTCTGCAATTCGCGACATCCGTGCCTTGCTAACTCTCTGTCCCAAATACCAAATGCACCATGGTCAGGTGACTGCTGCCCAGGTACTACGCTTGCTCAGCCATAGAGTTCCGTCACTAACTGTTGGGGACTGCTGGATGAAGCTTTATGATCATTGGTCAGCTGTTGATGACATTGGCTCTCTTGCTGTGGTCCATCGGATGCTAGAGATGGAGCAGAACAAAGGCCTTCTCTACTTTCGACAGTCACTATTGTTGCTCAGGTATGGTGCTCGTCAGTGTCTACTACATCTATCTACGTCTCATCTCATCTCAATACTATTAAAAACTGCAAAGGGCCCGACGTGATGCTTCCTGGCGGGCCCAGCGAAAATCAATGCCCCGCGGTGCGGGAAGTCAGGGGCGGAACAGGAGGGGCTACAAGCATGGTTGCATCCCTGCCGACCGCCGACCCTGACCGCCGACCGTATTGCAGCCGACCAGTAGGGCCGACCGGTCGGCGGTCTGCCGACCAGTCAGAAAACAACCATCCACTATTTTTTTTTCAGATCTGAGTTGGAAGCTGTACTGCGCTTGCTGAGTACAGCCCAAATCCGCTGAGAAACTTTTGGGGATGGGGGGGTTGGGGGTGGGGTGTATAGGGGGATAAAGGGGGGTATAGGGGTGGTATAGGTGGTATTGGGGGTATTGGGGGGGGTTTTCAGGGTGTTGAGGGCTGGTTTGTGGGTTTGGGGGGGTGTATGGGGGTATTTGGGGTGGGTATGGGGGTGTTTGTGGGGTTATTAGGGGTTCTGGACCGATTTATTTTTATTTTTATTTTTTTATTTTTTTTTTGCAGGGTGCCGATGACCCCCGACCGGTAGGTGCCAACGAGCCGACCGGTCGGCGGGTCGGCAGCCGACCAGTCAGGGGTCGCCGACGGTCGGCGTGTGCAACACTGGCTACAAGGGAAAATACCTGCGGCGCTGCAACGGTGAGGTGTGCGCGTGGGGTCAGGAGCAAAACGCATCGTTTTGTGCGCGAGTGTCCTGGGAGGCAAGGCGCGACAGTCCCGGCACAAGGGAATGCGAGGGGTGATGAGGCCGTATTTGCAGACGTGCGGATGTGCATGTGCTATAGCAGCAAGTTGCAGTGAACTGTGGCTGGAAGCTGCCGTCGTTGGTTGCTGGGCTGTGGGTTGCATGGGTTTGTGGACTGAATCTACAAGTGTGGCAGTGTATGTTTCCATGTTCTAGTGGTAGATTCATTCAATTTACTCATCCTATCAATGGAAGTACCCTCTCTCCCCAAATGACAATGACCCGCCCGTCTCCTGATTACCTGATGGAGCCCCCTGTTGAAGATCATCTCTGTCCGGAGCACATACCGGAGCGAATTGGTCAAGACCACAACGAGTCTCCGCCACCTGTGCAACCTGCAGAATCGAACGAGGATCCCCCTGCCGTAAACGGATCCCCCACGCAACCTGCGGAATCAGACAATGTCATAGCGCTACACTGAGGGCGCTGTGCGTACCATGCCATAAATGTATGTCTCCTTGCTTACAATTGTAATCCTTATAATGTTGCTGATTTCGCAGTCGTTGTTCGCTGGATAGAAGAAGAGCACCGTGCTGTCTGCCCAGAGGACGACAGCGCTGCGCCTGGGGTGAACATAGAAGTCCTGGCTATAGCATTTGTGGGTAGGCGACTGCAATTCCAGCCTGCTCCAGAAAAACACGAGCCAGGCACGGATCCAAATATTCCGGCATATATCTTATATCGTCCAGGTCACATCAGTGCTCTTACCTTTGCAGATAATTCATGGACCCTATGGGACAACGGCGGTAGGGTGCACACATCGGCAAATATTAACTCTTTTCTATCACCGAATGCTGGAGGGTCACTCAGTCTGGCTTGTCCATCAGGAACAGTATGTTGATGAGCATTTGCAAGTACTGCACCCCCCACAGAGCAATCCGGCTGATTCTACCACAAACAGTGAAAGGACCTCTCCACATGATGATGGCTGTGCCCTCCCGTTGTGTCTTCACACAGGTGCAGTTTGGTTGGCATGTACACGACATAGCCTCTGCTCCGAACATTATGAAGGCATGGTCGCTGCTAGCCTCTCACACGAAAATTGTTGTCCCCTGTCCTGTGCTCATCCCCCCCACCCCCTGATTACTTGCCCAGCGTGCCGTTGTGGCATTGATCTGCCATGCTTAAATAACTGTGCGCGTCAGCCTTCCATACTAATGACATTTCAGCAACATGTCATGTGTCGTCAATGCTTCCAGGAAGCTGTCATAGACAGTATGTGTCTTTACTGCGTGGACTATCCCCGGTGCCATCACCCGCCACATCCTCTGCTAGCATGTTCCACATGCGGTGTTGGTCATACACCTACGGCAACTGCTGACGGATCTCCCTCTTTCTTGCCAGACGAACGACGAACACAGCAGTCCGAGGAGGAAAATAGACTTCTATACGTACCACCGGCAGAGCGATGTGCTCATAGTTTATCACCACCAGGGCAAGCTGTTGCGGATCATATCCTGCGGCAGCTGAACGCCCTTGCGTTGGACTGATCCTCCCTGTCGTCGTCTGCCCGTAGAGAAGGAATACATGCTGAGGAAGCCCAAGAAAGATGCTTCATGCCGTTTTGTGATGACCCGCCGGAGATTCAACTACCATGTGGTTCACATGCCTTGTGCCGTGAGGATTATGAAGGGATAGTCCATGCGAGTATTGGCTTCCATACGTACGATGACAGTCAGTACTGTACTCATGTACGGCACCCCGATATGTCATGTACAATTTGTAGACAGGGGTGTCCAGTCTGTAGGGTTGGCCCCTCGCCATAGTTTTTTTTTTTTTTTTTTTTTTTTTTCTGAAGTTGTTTGTTTCAGCGGTGAATATTTAGAAATCTGTGAAACCCATCATACACGTCTCCCCTGTTCTTTGCATGTCATACTCTATCCTGCGCTCCACATATTTCTTTCCTTCCCGTTGCCACTACCTCCCCTGCCCCATACTCCTACAGAACTCCGCCTTCTATCCCTTACCCTCCATCCTCCCCTCCACTCCCTTTGTACTACTAACAATACATACGAATGAGCATCATTAAGAGAATAGAAGATATGAAGATCGGAAATGAAATGAACGGAACTATGAAGATGAAGGACGGACACAAAGACTGTATAAGCTGAAGATCTGAAGTGAAATGAACAGGAGTATGAAGCTCTGAAGAGATGCACAGGAGCATACCTTCCCTTTTACTCTGCCTCCTGAAATAACGTGCAAGTGGGCCGTGAGTTGTCTAATTATAAAATTGCTTTAATGTGTTGGACAGCTCAAATGCTCTCGTTGTCTGCAATAGGACAAAGACTGCTTTGATTCTGAATCTATTCACCTGGGTGGAATTGGGGCTGTTGTGGGGAAAATCTAACACACACACACACACACACACACGCACACACGCACAAGTGTGGCAGTGTGTATGTCCATGTAGCGACAATTCATTCGATTTTGCTCATCCTATCGATGAAAGCGCCTTGAGGCCAGCCGCGAGGTTGGATACTATTCTCTCTCCTTCTCTCGGTCTCTCTCTCGGTCTCTCTCTCTCTCTCTCTCTCTCCCGCACACACAAAACAAAAGACGAAAAAAAGTGGCAGTGTATATTTCCATGTTCTAGCGGAAGATTCATTTCGATTTTCCTCATCCTATCAATGAAAGTAGCATGGCCGGGAAGCAGGCTATATTTCCATATTCGAGTGGAAGCTTCATTTCGATTTTGCTCATCCTATCGATGGAAGTAGCCTCTCTCTATCTCTGTGCGTGCATGGCTGGAACTCTCTCTCTCTCACTCTCTCTCTCTCTCTCTCTCTCTCTCACACACACACACACACACACACACACACACACACACACTCTCTCTCTCTCTCTCTCTCTCTCTCTCTC